CACACACACACACACACACACACACACACACACACACACACACACACACACACACACACATCATCATCATCATCATCATCATCATCATCATCATCATCATCATCATCATCATCATCATCATCATCATCTCTTCCTTCCCCCTTGCTCCCTTATATTCCTTCACATTCATTTTATTCACTTTCCTCGTTTATTTTACTTTTAAACCATTTTATTAGCTACAGTGCACAGATTGCCATCGATATTACCGGAAGAAAAATACGATAGCTACGACAAACTTATCTGACGCGAGGATTTCATCACGGGATCTTGAGATCAATCATGTTTAACTTTCCTTCCTTCATACTTGTACATTACTTTCTTTTTTATAAATAAAAGTCACACAAAAACATCTATTATATTTCTTTAATCGATGCATCACATCATCCCATCATCCATCCCAACGTGATCATTTCTTACATGCGTGAATTTTAGTTGAGTTTTACTCGCTCTAAAAGTCTCCTTTGATTCTTGGAGCGATTAACTTTGCGTGCGACGCGACACGTGTCGTTCTCGGTTTTGTTCATCGCGAATATTTCGTACGTATATATCGAACGCTTAACAGGCACTATTTACAATATGTATGTAATACTGTACACGTACGCTGGTGACATTTGTGTTTATTTTTTACATCTATACATGTGTGTATCCGCTCGCTGAAGATACGTCTATTATTTATATAACGAGAGTAACTCCAAATTTGCTATTAATCTCGCTATACGTTTAGTTAGATACGATTGTTCTGAATTGATGTATAACTTTACCTCTGTCTCACATTCAGAGAGGGAGAGATCGCTAAACGTGTATGTATGTACAAAGTAAATACACACACAACGTGTATTTACGTACTAAACCGGTAACACCAATCGTTATTAAGCTCCTTGTAACGCAATTTCATTAGCGTTTGTAATTCCAGAAAATTCAATTTCAGTACAGAGGGTGAACAATATTAAGATTGTTAAGAACATTGGGGTCAGCAATTAAAATGTTTAGTGTGATACTTTTTAAAATGGAGTATACTGGAGCAAGAAAGCAGAAAAAGGATGAAAACTAACAAAAAAAAAGAAGCAGAAATAAGGAAGATAAGGTATATATATAGGGACTAGGGACCGTAATTAAAATAATCGGATATATAATTATGATCGCGATAATGTATACCAATTACCTTGTTCAACTTTCCGCTATTCAAAGCCTGTATAAAAGTATATATATCAAATGTAGCTCTTTATTTCACACCAAGTATAGCATATAGGTACGAGTCGTAAATTTAGCTAAAAATAAAATCATAACGAGCCGGCCAAGGAGATTTTCGACTTCTTTACCTTTCTAAACTCTTAACAGTGTTATATATATGTAAATAGTATCGTATTTATTAATAATCAATCATAAAAAAGTGGAGACTCGCTGCGCCGCACTGTAGGAAGGTTTGAAAGGCCAAAAGCACTGTTTCAATGCACAAATGAAAGTGTTACACACTTGTTAAACTCTTGACTAAAGTGTCGCGAGATGCAAAACGAGATGCCAAAAGTGTCGTGTAGGGGAGAAGTAAAAACACGTTATACATGCGATCTAATTGTAAAAGCAGATTAGTCAACGATAATTGTGCAATTCCGCGAAATACGAAGAGACGTAAAAGGAGCACACCTTGACGCGCTTTCGTTCATTTCCTTTTCCAAAAGAAAAGAGAGTATAATAGGCCCGATAATAGAAGAACAACCAAGCTTATTCGCAAACATGGGTAAAATAATTAATTTAAAAAAAAAAGATAGTTATCGCGCAAATGTTCTTTATCTCTAAAACAATTGAGGAACATTTAAAAAATTTTTAATTGATCTTTCCTTATTCTTTCCGATAACACGTATCATTTTTATATTTTTCACGAAATCGATTCTTCTTTTGGAATAATGTTCATCGATACAAATAAATAATTTTACCAATTTTATATTGAAAAATGTATTTTTAATTATATATATGTGTGCACGAGAAACTTTGCTTCATGAGAATGTTCAGAATTCCAAGATCGAGGTCGAGGTCGTGAGAATAAAAAATACTTTGTCTCTTTTGCACGTATTATCAAAATAATTGGTCTAAAACAGTTTTCACACACACACACACACACACACACACACATACACAAATATGTCATACAATATTGATAGATTGCAGAATTTATGTGAATGTTGGAGCGAGAGTATGCACGAGCATGCATCATGTGGCTCTATGAATAAAAAATGTTACAGTGTATTATACATAGTTATATTTCATTCGGCACTATAATAACACAACTATGTACTTAGTACAAATATTATTAAATAACTCTGTGAAAAGAAGAGAATTTGTGTTTAAATTGAAGGCTGTAGATTTCAGTTTAGCCTTTTTTGTGGAGTCGCTCCCCCTCTCTCTCTCTCTCTCTCTCTCTCTCTCTCTCTCCTCCCCAATTTTTTAAATCGAATACTTCAAAAGCAAAGCTATATTTGTTTCACACAGGAAAAATATATTTCATTTCCAATAAATTTTTTTCACCTATAGAATCGCGTCATTCTCCCTTCCCGCGGTTGCGCTCTCAATAATGAAGCACCTTGAACGTGAAAAACGTTACATATATGTAATATGTATACAAAATAGAAATATTTATTCTCGGGTGGCGAGAATGGAGAGCCCAGTCCTGAGTCCATTGCACCTACCTATCTACCTACCTACTCCCTGACACATTTCTGGCTCGCCGAGAGAGACCAGCCGAGACTCCGCCTTCTGGCATCGAAGAAGAGGCTGTGCACAAGATTCGTGCAGCATCCCATCGCTATCCAAGATCGGGCGCGTGGGTGCCGGTGTAGGAGGATCCTCCAAGAAGCCCTCCTCTCTTCCGCATCCCTCCCTACGTCTCTCTCATTTCGTCTCTCTCCTTCGGGGACGGTTCTCCAAGCGGAGCCAAGAAAATCTCTCGGAGAGAGAAAACGATGCCGGCGATGATAAGCAAAGCGGGGTAGTCGCCTCGGGCGAGTTCTTTCCGATTCATCCGGGGATTCGCGGCGCGCGCGGTGAGCGGCTTTGAGCGGCTTTGAGCGGCTTTGAGCGCGTCCTTGTCAACGTCCGAGCACGGAGGTGAGGACAAGTCCTGTTGGCGACAAAGCGAAAAACGGTCCCCGTCTCGACGATGCCGAGACGGGCTCGGGTATTCCTCGGGCACTCGGTCGAGATCGGAACGCCGTGCCGCTGAAATCCACGGTCGGATTCTTCTTTCAATGGGGCGAGCCGCTGAAGAAATCCACTTGTTTCGCATTACGTTATATACCTACTCTACGACATCAACGTGTTCGTAACCGAGGGGGGTGGGGTTGGGAAAACGAGACTTTCCTGATGAAAGCTCGCTCTCGAGAGCGGATTACGGAGCAGAGGTACCGATATGCGGATTGCGGCGAAAGATCGTTATACCTACAATCGACCCACGCACGATCGCGTAGGTATTATTCGAATAATGACTTTCAATAGAGTGCGCGTCTTCTGATCGATCCGAGCGTACACTTTCGAGTGGAAAAATCAATCGATGTTAAACCAAGGATACTGTAATGATGAAATTAATCCGCGAGTGCAAACGGTGTCGTTTCGCGTCATTAAATCTTTCGTTACGTTGGAAATGTCGTGGGATCGTGCACCACAAGGCGCACCAAGTTGAAGTAAATTTCGCGATATGGATTCACGCGGTGATCTTACCGTCACGTAATCAGTACAGTAATAATTGACATCTACTGATCACCGATTTGACGATGCAATCGCAACATCACGAGCTGCAACGACACGAGATCGCCGCCGACAGTTACTGCTACCAGCAATGGTCGACGCATCATTATCACCATCACCATCACCATCACCATCAGCAGCAGCAGCAGCAGCAACATCAGCAGCAACATCAACATCTACCCGCTGTACCGTCGCCGATGCAACAAATGGAAGGTGAACCGTGACAGACGGACAAAATGTTATATTTATTAGTCTAAAATCGCGTTACTCCGCCTAGACTCTTCTTCTGTTCGTAATACGCGGTATGTTTAATTAATTAACGTCGACGACCAAAGTGGCCTTTTCCATATATCGTACTTTTCATACTTTTCATACTTTTTATATCGTTGCATTCCCCAACAAACGCAAATGAATTAAAATGGGTTAAAATGGATTCAGATTTTCAGAAATACGGATATTTCATGAATGTGAAAATGAACCTTTTCCAATCCTGAATACATTTTTATTCATTTATAGGAATTGTACGGAGCATATTTGTATGCCTTTCAATCTAAAAATAATATCAGCTTTTTCAGTACATCGTAAATACTGTTCAATTGAAAATTTTGAATAGAAAACGCAATTTTTCAATCCAATTGAATCTAATTGAATCCAATTAAATCCAAAAAAAAGTTTTCGCTGTTTTAAATACGCATTCGAATAGACAAAATGTCCAATCCATTTTAATTCATTCTCGTTTGCTGGGTCTGCACATATAATTGGTATTCTCTCTTTTCATTGTTTTCGAGTAAAGAAACCACGTTTGTTTCGGCTATGTATTTTATTCGAGTTGCAATAATTTGTGACTCGAAAGCTGATAAAAATTGGTACGTGTTATGTACGAAACAATTACAGTAACAATTAGTAAAATAAAGGTAACTTACATACTATAATATATACTGAAAAAAGAGTTTGGAATTAATTGGAAATCTGGTAGATTCGACCAAGTATGTCTGTTCAAAAACGAACGCGGATCAGAATTTTTGTAAAAATTACCAGATGAATTTCATTAATTTCTTCTACATTACGTAGTTACGTCTATCAGAATTTCTTGTTGATAGAATAAATGTTTCCTATTAACTGTACTAGAATTTCCTTTCTGATCGAATATGTGAAAGCGCAGTACACTTATAAAGCAATATAATTACTACAGAAATCCAAATTAACTTTATAAGAAATTTTAAAAAACTTCTAGTTGTATTTCTCAAAATTCCATTGCCAGAGAAGAGAAGATTCAACATTTTCTCGCCAGCCATACTTCGTTTCACTTCTTTTTCTTCTTAATATCCCTTTCAAATTTTTGATCTAATCAGACAAGTCACAGTACGACGACTTACAATTAGTTTGTTCAGATGAACTTGCAGCGATTGTTCCACCGTAAGATCTTACTATTTTCCCATAAATAAAAGCAACGACACGATCAATATCGACGCTAACAAAATGAAACTGCAACAGAGGAGCACTTTACACAAAGTAAAACAAATACGTCATTCTCATTAAACGCGCGATTCAATCGAGATCGGAGAGTTAAGCGACGACACACGATGCGAGCATCTACTAGATATCTATTCGTATCTTGCATTGTCTTCCCAGCTTGTTTGCAAAGCGCCGGAAGAGTAAAGAGATCTCGCAGTCCCAGTCATCCGATGAAGGCCATTTTGCCGGTTCATTCGACAAATCCGGCGAATCCGATCTCCTCATCCGCCACGATAGAATCGCGCAACGATAACAACAATAACAACAGCCATCACGGTGACCATCATCACGGTGAGCGTCCGAGCGAGGACGGCGGCGGGTCCTCCGTCGAGGAATCGGGCGCGAAACGGCCGCTCCATCCGGCGCTGCTCAGTGCTGGCGCCGCTCTGGAGGCGAAGCCGCTCTGGGAGGAATTCCATCAGCTGGGCACCGAGATGATCGTCACAAAAGCCGGACGAAGAATGTTCCCCACGTTTCAGGTGAGGATCCCATTTCGTGACACTCTCATTGTCAGACGGACAAATTGTACCGCGGAAACGTAAAGCTCGTCCGCCGAAGCGATGACATACGAATGATTTTGCTGATCGGCAGTGTCGACTGTTCGGCTTAGACCCCAACACCGAGTATCTGATGGTGATGGATTTTGTCCCGTGCGACGACAAGAGATATCGATACGCTTTCCACAGCAGTGCCTGGGTCGTAGCGGGTCGCGCCGATCCCATATCACCCCCTAGGATCCACGTGCACCCCGACAGTCCTGCGAGTGGCGCTCATTGGATGAAGCAGTCAATCTCCTTTGACAAGTTGAAACTGACTAACAATCAGCTTGACGATAACGGACACGTGAGTCTATGTTTTATAGATTTGTTTTTTTCTCAAATTATCCACGATAATCCATACGATTGAGAACAACTTCGAGAGCGGAGGAGAATGACGTTTCTTTATAATTCACTATAACAAATTATTTTTTATTTATTTGAAATAAATTGCATGTAGAATTCGATTAACGACAACTAATGTATCATCTCATTTTTATTTACGAAAACTAAGATATTTTTAAATATCCACCCTTGAACGTATAATAATTGAACATCCCCTTTTTTTCTTTAAGTATTTGTCAGTTTGGAAAAAAAGAAGGAAGAACAAAGTTTACAATTTTAGCTTGCGATCTTATATTCTTTCACGACTTATGTCTCTTCGCTTGAATTTTTACGCGACCGACGTCTTCGTATCGTCATTTCGTAAAACGCATCTACATAGTAAAGTAGAATGAAAGATGTGAGGATTTCCACGTGTTTGTCGTTTACGCACGAGTTCGTCTTAATTGACCTAAGATACGAGTGTGTCGCTCACGAGAAATTACGGAGAGAAATTACGACGAGGCTGCGCACGAAACGACGAAACGTTTTCACGAAGATTCTTCTACCGTTTAGAAGACGCCGCCTATGTTCTAGTAATGAAAATTAACGGCGCGTATCTCACTCTAAGATTTTCGCCTATTTCTTACTAACGCAATAATAAGTAATATTCGTTGCGTTGCGTATCGGTTATCTTAAAGTAATTAGCTATATGATTATAATTGGAATTGATGGTTGCTATTTGAAATGTTATATTTTCAATTAAAAATATATTTAAACAATTCATAAAATATTATTTATTATATTCCTGAAAGATCCTTTAATGATTTCTTTTAATATTAATTTTTATACGTTTTTTTGTTTTCTTATGCTGTAGATAAAAGAGATCAAGGATAAGACGCGCAACTAACAACTCTCTCTCTCTCTCGTATTTTTTAATTTTTAATTCTTTTACAATAGTTAAATTTTAGTTATACATATTACATCCCTTACAGCATAAAATTAGCTTCTATCGAAACTCACAGCGAAAAAATTAAAAAATAGATTTTTAATTAGACAATAGCTGTGTCTGATCAAATGCGTTTATAGTTTAATGCTATTCATATGGCTTGAGACATTTTGTCTCTGGGGCGTATTATTCTCGCCTTCCTATCACCGCACTCGAGAGTGTCGTGTGTGTAAAATAACGTAAACAGATGTAATGTAAACTGCGCGTGAGCTATAAGTCCTGGGAAAGAGACCACATTTTGTGTAAGAAGTATTATACATTTATACTGAGAAAGAAATGGCGTCGGTCAGCATATCTGTTTATTCCGCGATCTTTATTCAGAATCGATTGTGAAAATATTTTGCAGCGCTTACAAAAGGCATTAAATAATAAGCCTATACTTGTCGCAATAATTTGATATGTATCTCAAATGTAAAAATTGAAATATACGTGTAAAATATGAACATTATAAATAATAATTCCTATTCTAATGAAAAATAATAATTCATTGAAATAAAAATATTCGTAATTTTTTTGAAAATATTAAACTCTCTGGTATAATAATATTACTAATATTTTTTAGTTTTTAGATGAATTAATCGCATATAAAACATTAATCTATTATAATGTAAAACTCTATTTTCTTTTTTATTACCTGTAAATCCTTATTCAGATCCGATTTTATTGTGAAACGTGAAGCATAAGAAAACAAAAAATGTACGTATATATTATATATACGTCAATTTTTTTAGATACCGATTAAGAGATAAGAATTCTAAATTATCAAGCTAGATATACGTATGTATATGTATATGTATGTATATATAGTTCTTTTTAAACGCGCCGACGTTATCTTCGGTTTTGAAATGCAAGCCGATTGAATTATTAAAGATATCGCAAATTAAATTAATAAGCAATTCAATAATTTGATAGTGTATTGGCATCCTATTAAAAATGTGTTGAAATCTGTAAATAAATTTATTGAGAATATTATCAAAATTTTTTAATTCAATTTCTGCGCATTATAATAAATAATTCATACTAAATAGTTAATTCTTTTTTATTATTGACTTTTTCCGACATATTATACATATTATTATGTATATATGTAAGATTTCAGATGATATATCAGATAATAACGATATAATTAAATAATTTCAACGGATAATGTCTTCAAATCTGATATATTATACATTACAACGTATACAGGTCTGAAGGGGAATTAAAATCTTTTTAACTTTTTGCCGATATATTTATAAGTAATATAAGTCTCCTCGCTCCTATAACCCTTTGGATCGAAGGTTTAGCACTGTTTCTATTGTCTCAAAGCCGCGATGCTTATCATGCTAGATCCCTTATAGCTGGATTAGAATCTTGCCATCGTATTAGTTATGTTATTCATACGATATTTTTTTATTTACAAAATATCAAAGAGAACATTGGTCGTAAATGCATTATTCGACTTTTTCGATCAAGCGGCGGCGACGCGGCGCGCAATGTAGGGCAAAGATGCTACAAAGCCGAAAATAATTTCTCGCCGAATACGATCGTGAAACAAGCAGTCTAAGTCGTAATGTAGCGACATACCGATGAACGAAATCACGCGACGCAACATGCCGACACCGTAAGCACGCGTATCGGTCGCAATTTGTAGTAGAAGGAGGTCAGGTGGTCGAGTTACTCGCTTTCAAAACTCGAATTTGACCCGATATTTCCTTATTAACGTGAAAAGGATACCGCCGTCGTTTTGTGACAATTTATTGCCAAACGCGATTTCTCTGTACGATATCCGCACAACGTCGAGTTATGTTAAATCTGAATTTATTAACACATTAAAGCTGAAAACACAATAACAAGCACGGGTAATGGAAACAGGGAGGAGATTTTAACCAGTTAGAAACGCATGTATAATAGAATGGACGCTTTCTGATAAGTTGAAATCTCTTATTCCCTGTAATCCCTGTTCCTATTGCCTGTAATTTTTATTGGGTTTCCAGTTTAATTTCCGATCAAATGTTTCCTTCTCGGTCAAAATTTGACGTACTAGATCAGTCTCTCAAGCAGAATATTTAAATGCTGTTAGAGAGATTCGTTTTTTCGTTCTAAAACTACAAATATCTTTATATCTTTATTTATCCTTTAAGAGCCAAGTTGTCGAAATATATCTACGCATTATGTAAAAAAATTAAAGGATTACTTTTAGTGTCCTCCCCAAAAATAGGTAATCGTTTTCAAGAAAACGAAATATTAATTTTAACTTAAAAACAGTGAATTTTCTGAAGCATACAAATTAACATTATGTTTTTTTACAGTATTTGAACGCTGTAAACTGAGTTTGTTTGCAGTCTTTAAGTTCAGGCCATAGAACTTTGTAAAGTTCGTACAAAATTTTTAGATTTAATGGACAGTCCAGTTATATCCCTAAAACTTTATGAAAAATTAAACAGATCGGAATATCAATTACGAATCTCGAGGAATATAGGATCAGTAGGAACTTTAAAATGCCTTTTTAAAAATCTCGTTACGATCATTTCTCATGAAGTTACATTGAATATTACCTAATTTTGGAACAACAAACTAATGTATTCATAGACAGGCTTTATGTTGGCTTCCTTAAATTTATCTTTAGATGTTCAGTAATCAATAAAACAACTCCTAGAGGATCTGAAGATAAAGAAGTCTGAAATATGTACATATAAAAACATAAGTGTTTAATTTATTTGCGTAGAGTAATTTCGTTTCTATAACTTTCTATGTGAATTTATGTGCAAGTTTAAAGTGCAAGGGCAGAGACATTCTTGAAATTACGCACTTTTATAATTACATCTTTATCGTACAATGCGTCTTCTTTCCAACTGTATTATTTGCAACCGAATACGCTGCACTCTGTGTGTATTCAGGCGTAATCTTTATCGCGTTTCAAATTTATGTAATCGTAAATTCTTTGCCGACGTCTATACTCGAGACGTGATTTATTTTTCGACATTCGAAACATCCTCGACTCGAAGACGGAGGAAAGTTCAGAGTCTCTCCACTCGCGTTTCTCTTAAGAACGTATCGCTCTTCTTTCGCAGGCGAGGACTTCTGACCCGTGGCGAGAGGTCGTTCTTTTTCTCGCGCTATACACAGAGCAGTTTGTTCCTTTAATTACCGAAAAATCTGGCACCAGGCCGCGTAAAAAAATCAGAAAGACTCGCTGTAGGCGGGTCAGGAATGCTCGTCTGGATGCTCGTCCTTAATTGACACTCTCTATCGCGGGGCGTTTCCGGATTTCTCGATATCGTTTTAAAAACAATTTTACTCTGTAGACTTTGTCTTTGAGAACAGTGTTCGCAGAGATAAATAAAATAAAGATAACATATATTCAATTTTAGCATAATTCACGACGAGCGCGGTGTTTCTCGATGTTGAAGACTGGGACTGTCTCTTTAGTATCTACTGTTCAACTTAAAATAAATATATCTTTCGAGCAAAATTACCACTTTCAATATCGATACAAAATATCAAATGATTAAAGAATTGCAAAAATATAAGCTTTTCCTAAAAAGTTTTAGGAAAAGTCATTGTGATATCAAAGGTACATTTCCAGATGAAAAACCGTGACGTTATACCTATATTACATATATGGAATGCACGAAGTACGACATTCAATGTTCGATGTGTTAAAAGAGAAATTATTGTGAGCACGACAAAAATATTGTATAAATTCATTAGAGAAGATTGTCGATGAAAAGTTCGCTCGCGGGAAATGGCATCCTAATTTTTCCGGAGGCCACACACGCTTTTCCTTTCGCGTGTATACGTTTATACGCGGGTTTAAATCTACCAATACACACGAATACACGGGCATCGTGAAGCGCATATGCGCGTGAGTGCGTGAAGAAAAGGACGAGAGTGTCGGATTACGGGTCGGAGGTTAGTTTTTACACTAATTAGTCACCGAGTCTCTCGTGGCTGTCAAACATTGCGACCGCCCCCCTGTGGGGCTCCTTCCTTCCATCGAATACGAGCTTCACGTGTTCTTATCTTTTTTTTTCTCGGTACCATAATTCCTCGTATGTATACATATACTATTTTACCAAATTTGTAAACGTTCATCGCCTTACGTTTGTCATAATATTTGTAACGCTCTATACGATTGATAGTACTTTTGTAGTTGATACTTTTTGAGATTAAAAAAGGGGGGGGGAAACATTATATATATATATATATAAATTTACAAATGTTTTTTTTTTTTTTATAAATATTGGGAGTACAAATTAGTTTGGTCCGTTTTCCAAAAGATGATCGCCTCCAAAGACAAGTCATTTTTTTCGAGATGGAATTCGAAAATTGCCTGAGAGATGGGAAAAAGTAGTAGCCAGCGATGGGCAATACTTTAATTAATGTGTTCATTTTTGTTTTGAAGTAAATACATTTTTGAACACAAAAAACGGACCGAACTAATTTGTACAATAGAATAATTAAAAAGAAAGAGACTGACTCGATCTCCGTCTCTTCCATTTGAAATTAAATCGAATCATCATATGAAATTTTATATTACTTTTGACATTTAATTGATCGAATTTAAATATTTTCCTTTGAAAATTTATAACGAGTAACTACTTTGTTCGAAACAGACTAGGCCGGAATCAGACTACGCATTGAAAATTATAATAAGATTGAAGATTGAAAGATTGAATTTTGGCTAATCAAAATAATAGAGGAGCTAAAATTTCTTTATCCTTATTGGTCAAATTTCATTTTTCAATCTTCAATCTCAATTTTCAATGCTGATTCCGGCCTTAGCCGTCTTTAGCTATCCTGTGTGCGTTTATTACATACCTATATGTGTATACATATACCTTATACATATATCGTGACTGTATCGAAGGAGCGCGTTTTACTTGAAAATATCCTTTTGCATTACAGATAATTCTAAACTCGATGCACCGTTATCAACCGCGCTGTCACGTGGTGGTCGCTCCATCGCCACCAGGCTCAGCGCCGGATCCTCGCACGGAGAACTTCAAGACATTTTCCTTTCCAGAGACCAGATTCACCGCGGTTACCGCGTACCAGAACCATCGGATAACGCAGCTGAAGATTGCCAGTAATCCGTTCGCCAAGGGTTTTCGGGATTGCGAATCGGACGAGTGCGACGGCGTGGCAACCGGCGTCGGTGGGATGCCGAATCCTGCGAAAAGACCGGCCACGGGACCCACGAGTACCGCGAGTACCGTGAATACCGTTCTCCCATCCGGTTACAACCATGCCATGCCGATTCCGGCACCGATACAGATTCCGGGTGTACCCGCCACCTCTCAGGAACACCATCAGTTCTACGGCGCAACCGGCACAGGTAGTCATTGGACGCATTATCCGAGCCATCATGGACAGTCGTCGGCGCACGTCAACGCGGTTCACTATCCGATGCATTCGCAGCATCCGCATTCGAGCGCGTCTCTCTATGGACCGCGATAATCCAATTTTATATTACCGCGCGCGGTTCCAATCGCAATCTCGTTATTTCTACTTTCGGCGTCTTTAAGCGTCGAATCATCGAGATTAATTCATGCAATACGACGGAGACGAAAATGAAACATTTGCGTATCCCGGTACCGTTCGAATGTTATATACTGTTTAGCTTTGACGTATTTTACATCTTGATCATCCAGCGCTTTCTTACAATTAGTGCAATGGAACGCAAGAAGCTCGACGAATTCTTCTTGAAACGTGCTGATGTAACTTTAGACTAGCGGATGTATTTTTTTAAAAACACGCGAGCAATCAACCTTTACTGCGCGATCTCTTATTATAAACGACAAGTTTTCAAAACAGTGGATTATCAAAATATATATATATATATATCTCCACATTGTTCGCAACCGGATTTCTCTTATAAATCTATCAAAAGAATCAAATCGCGTATTTCAATTTCAATCGACAGATAAAAATTTTACTCACACATTTATATTTGTGTATATCTTTGTATGTAACGGCAGTTTTTTATTTAAGTTTATTTAACTGACAGTAACATATGGTAATTGACAAATCATATTATATGTATTGTTACTGATTACACGATTTGCTGATGATGTAACTTATGTATACCAAAGATTGTGCCAATATCTAATTTATGAATCTATCCTAAGCAGAATCAGACTATCTATTATACAATAAATCATTACCTAGCTCTTGAGCTATAAGAAATTGACCAATCATAATCAATTATTTTTCTCGCATTCGACTGTGATTGGTTAACGTCTTATGACTCATGACTTAAAACTTAGATAACATAGGCTACGTTTAAACCGTGCATTTAGGCCGCGGCCTAAACAATAGATGTCTTTGTTTATCCTGTAGGTTAAAGAAAGGTACCTATCGTATAGATCACGGACTAAGCGCACGGTGTAAACGTAGCCACAGTTTATTCTTTATTGTATATAGAAAGCTGATACAAAAAGAGAATCGTAACTTGTTCTCATAAAACTTATGAGAACTTATGACTGGAATATTTATCATTTAATGCAATATCTTTACAGACAGTTTTTTTTGCTCCAGCGGTATAATTATATTTACAAGAAATCGTAAACATTTTTAAGTGATTTACCATACACACAGAATTCAACAACCCTATAAGTCATAAGTCATTACAAGTCTTACGTGAACAAGTTACAAGCCTTACAATTCTACTTTTGACCTTTAAATTATTATATATGAATCTACGTCTGAGTTGAATAAAAAACAAAGCAGATTTTAACTTTTTATATGGCCCATATAGCTCACGCGTATTTATATCTATATTATATGTATATACATGTAAATGTATAGAATACGTGTGACACTGTATATAAATATACATACATGGTGATATTAAGAGTGTAATAATTAGCTAGACAATATGCTGATACCGTTGTTAATAATACCGTTGGTTATATACAGTTAAAGTACTGACGTGTCTACATGCAGTACTAAAATTACCAACAAAGAGAACTATATGAAAGCGATAATGCGAAATTCTTATTTGTAAAGCATTTTTGATATTAGTGTACACTTTTTCGAGCGTTCGAATTAATTAGTGCGTAAGAAACGAATCGACTGTTGCTGGCAAAGTTGCGGAAAATCGTGATGGAAGTAAGTGCCTTTTGTAGGAGCAAAGTGCGTCTATTTATACTGGGTGTCTCAAATGCCAAACGAGTTTAAAACGTTCTCGAGCCAAGACGAGAAAGTAAACGCGCCATGAGACACTTGGTGAGAGTAACGTGGTTACTAAAAGTGCCTTAATAAATTATGCCGCCCGGCTATCATACTTACCACTTGTGCCTTTAACTTTTTAAGAATCCTTATTCACGACAGTATTGGAGGAACATTTATGGCCAAATGAAGAATAAACTGTATAAAATGTAATGTGAAACGCGCACAATTTATTTCTCCTGAACAAACAATTCTCTCTTCACTCTTCCTCTCCTACGAAATCGAATATGATATGTATATCTTGCTTCGAGAGCAAACGACTCTAGCTCCGTCTTTTTTTTTTTTACAACTCAGCACAATTTCTTTCAATTATTATTATTTAAGTATATGCATATACTATATACTATACATATACTATACTATAAACTTTTGTCAAACATTTAACATTACAGTTTTATATGATTTTGACGAACAAATGCATCTTTCTCACTTTTATCGTTGAAACAATAAAAATATATTGATGTTATAAATACAGGATGAACCATTTTAAACAGGTCGTCTAAATAACTCGCTTGTTTTTAATGATACAAAAAAATGTTTCAGATGAAAATGGAACGGTTGCGGAGACACCAAAAAGATATGAAGGTCACCTCCACTTTTTTAAATAGAATTAAGTGACTTTTTTTACGTAATATAATTTCTTTAACAATTCTGCATATAAAAATATGAAGATACAGATATAAAAAAAAAACATTCATTTATTATCAAAGTTTATATATGAAATCTTCTTCTTCGTAAAAGTCGTGAGATTCAGAATTTAGAGTACGCGGAATGTTGCGGTACTTAAAGTCTGCACGCTAATCGATTATTAAATTATAGCATTTAAAGCTAACAACGATACGTTTGTCACCATGCGGCTGACAATGGTTTAACATCGTGACTGTCAGAAATGACGAGCTAGAGTAGCAACGAAGCGAGATAGAAAGGAACTGGAGCGTCTAAAGACCTCCGTGGAATGATGAGAGCGACTCGACGTTCGCCATGATTGATGGTTGCGCGAGGAACAACGCTGTGTAAACATATTACTAGCGTATGCTTAATGATCGTCGGTGCAAGCTACGCATTCTCTCGCTCTAGCTAAACGTTTTGCACGCCGTGATTCATTCCAAAGAAAAGAAATCTCTCACTCTAAAAGAAAGAATGAAAATCCTATTCAAGGGTTAACATTTTTTACTCTTTTTTTTCAACAATGGCAGTACCTTAACTCCTTTGGAGTGAGATTTCACTCCAAGAAATTTAGAGAAACTCTTCGTTGCGTCGAGTGCACCAAAGTGCTGACAATAAGACAAATTTTTCGAAAAACACGTACTCATTCTTTATTAATATTTTCCTAATAATAATAATCAAATTAAACGCAGATTATATATCTTACAAGAATGATAAATTTTCGATAATATACATATATAGATAAGTATTATATATATATATGTATTATATATAATATACATATATAGATAAGTATTATTATATATATATATATATCGCTTACCGGATATATCAAAGTAATCAGAAGTGTCTCGAATATACATATCTTTATACTATTAATTAAAATCGACATATCTCATATTTTAAGAAATTCAGAGAGTAATCAACTATAAATGTAATATTTCTCTTAAATTTTTATACATACCACATTGTACGTGTAGCTAATTAATACTTATAACTGATTAAGGCAGCTTATTTTGCGAAACCTTGTTAATTTAGTTGGCATGAAACTGGAGCTTCGTATAACTTATGTGAAATGACTTTTGTGCGAGTGCACGAATTATTACGGGAAAAATACAGCGTATGCCTCGACAAGGGGGGTCTTGTCGTATACTTTTGACACCTTAACCCTAAGAATGACATAAAGCCGCGCGCGAGACACCAAGTTACACAGAGAAAAGCCCATGCTTATCGACGGCGCGTGACGCCGTCGCGGCAGTAAAAAGACACCCTTTCTCTCTTTTTTACCGTATTCTTTCATCTTCGCCGTAGGTATTGTGACATTTGCGACTAACCGGAATTAATCCTCGAGAGGTCAACCGCGACCCTCATCACCGCACCGTGTGTAACATCAGCGACACCTCTTCTCAGCTCGCGTGACGCGACAGTTCAAATAAATTTGTATTGTTTTTGTTAAAAGTAACAATAGCTCTTAATTATACATTTTCAAGCTATATGTATTTATCGCGAAAAGAGACATCAAATATTAGGCTACATGAATTTATAATCTTCGAGATCATCGTTTGAACTAAGCTAATCATTTCCCAAAGCTTATTTTTAGGTGCTGAACACGAATCTGGTTTCCAAAAATTGGGCTATCATATCATAATTTTGATAAGAATTAATACCGAAGAGGATTGAACTAAATAAAAAAGCAATATAAAATTTACAAAATACAACATATAATCATTTTCAAATAATTGCTGTATATAGAAATGAAAAATCGAACCGATATCAAACTTATTGGAAAGCTAAAAGTTAATTCTTCTTTCGAATAGCGCATTAATGAAATTTTAAAAATATCTTGCTGACAATGCTATACAACGTCATGAAAATTATCAGTTTTTTATTCTTTGACTTTCATTCTTTTTCTTCAAAATTGAGAGACGTAATGATAGCCAAATTTAGAAAACGGATTCATGTTAAACAGACAGAAATTCATTAAAAACTGCTAAAATTATTAAAACAATTTTTGTTGGAAGCTAATATAATTAATGGTAAAAGGCTGATTATCTACAATTAGTCAGAATTGTTTCCAATGTAATGTTAACTGTCAAAATTAATTGAAGCGTTAATTGTTTTCATCATAATAGAATTAATTTCAGACTATAAGACAATATTTTTCTAACAATTGTATATGTATAAATATATGTATAACTTATAAGTAGTATAAGCTTCTCAATATAATTGCCGATTTTTTTCTTCTATTGTCATATCTTTTATCAATTTTCGAGTTAAGGATGTAGATTCCTTTTCCACATACACTTATTAGTCCTACAAACCCTCTTTATTGCGAAGGCGTAACCAGTGACTTCTAAGGAAGCGTCTGGAATCTTTCACCCTCCCGTCAACTGAGTATCTCTTCTAACGGATCCAATTTTTGACTGTGTTTTTTCTCACAATCGGTTAACGATGAATCAATGCTCACGCTGCTGTTATTTCATGTGCCACTATTATAAATAAAAAAATATATATACATACTTGATCATATTATACATATTATTATAAGGATCAATTGTGTGTGGAATAGAATTGAAAGAACATTATTAGCTAATTCGGGAAAAATTCTTATTTAGGCGTGAAACACAATTGAAAAGCATAATATATGTATAGGTATACAAGAGATAACAATTTTCAACCTATCCAAAAACCGTGTATTTTAATATATACGCGATTTCTAATAGATTGAAATATGTTATGCTTGCTTCATATTGCCTATGTTTTTTTTATAATTGTGCTTCAGACTTTAAAAAATTATTTGTTTTTTAATTCTTATATTCCTTCTTTAATTCTTATGGCTGCTATTACCGTTGTGTATGATAAAACAGGTAAATAAAAG